CCAGATATTTTACACCCCGAATCATTGTACACTTCTCATTTTCCCTCATCATCGGTAACCACACTTTGAGAACCACTAGATCTCAAACACATACAGCATCAGGGTTGGAATGTTTTCGAAAATTAGACTATTGACCCAGTGTCTCGATTCGGAAAGAATCTAGATGCTTCTGCTGGTGGAGCTTTTGAAAATGCAGCTGACAGCATCCAAAGCATAATAAAAACACCAGCGTCCACACATTTCTGAGTTCTGGTGCAAACAAAAGAAAACACTTCCAAACGAATTTTCCTCAACATACCAGCAACTGCACATTCCAGAGGTACCTACTCACCTTTGGGAATTTGGGGGACGGTTTATCAGATGACTGTCCTCAAAGCAGGAGAATGTGCGTGCAGAGGCATCTGTATAATCCCTATTTTAAGGGCAAATATTGGCTAGCCTCTGTTATCACCACGAGCAGCTTTAAAGGCTTGGCTGATGGGAGCCGAGAGTGGTTGTTTGGGCACCATCCTAAGAGGGAGATGTGGAAAGAAAGGCAGGCACCTTGCAGGATGGAGTCAAGACTCAGCACTTAACTCTTGACTAGTAGAGACAGATTCCAGTCCTGTTGTTTCCTGGTAACTTCCGTTAACTAGCTGCATGACCCACTGGCTGATCTGGCCTCAGGCTGGCCATCTATAAGGAGAGACTCTAGTTTCTGAGCTGCGATTGGCAGAGCCCACAGGCCCATGGAGCTGCTGAGGGGCCTCTGAAGGAAGAGGGCTGCTGGACGGACCCCACTGTGGTCATGCTGTTCCAGAAACACGTCTCTGCATTGCCGCTATGCAATGACATCCTGGGATATTTTGTGGGAAGGATGACACATGTGACTTAACAAACGCTTGAGGACCAATGATCTCGGGGTCCTCTCTATTTCTAAAAGTGTGAGTGTTCGATCCCTTTATAAGTAATGACACAAGGTGTCCTTGAAACCGTATTCCCAGTTCTTCAGCTCTGGTGACTGTGGGTCAATCATGGATGAGTTTTTGGTAAAAATGAAGATGTGTGAGAATTCTCTGTCCTGCTTCCTCCTCAGCAGTCTTAAGAGGGGGGTATGGTGAGAGGCTGGTGATGAGATTAGTGGGTAGGGAGGGTAGAAAGATATCCAGAAGGACCAGTTCAAGGTCTTCCACCAACTCTGTCCCGGATTGAGCCCTGCCCAATCACTTCCACAGCAAACCCCTGCTCCCGAAGGGGGTACAGCTGCATCCCCAAACACTTTGATCGTCCTTCCCATCATTGTGGTCCTATTAGGACGATCAGTCAAGATGGTGGTCTTGTGACCCATGATGGCCATCACAGCCCTCTCCCAGAACTGGAGAGACACAGAGATGAATTCATTGGCAGCTGGGTCATCCTGAGGGCAGAGCCATTACCTCCTGCTGTTTAGGTTCCTGGGACTGTCCTGCTTTCTGTCTTTCTTGAGCCCCGGCTGCCTTCCCTTTGGTGTCTGTAAGTTATCCTGGCTCTGTCTGGTTCCTCAGCCCTTTCCCATTGCTGGACAGTCACCCAGGCTTTCTTTGCCCCACGCTTTCTCTCTCAGAGGGGCTTTGCTAGGCTCAGGTGATAATTCTGGGTAGTTCAGAGAGCCAGTCACCAGGGCCTCCAAGGGACCTGCCCACTTGCCCTGGGGAATTAACACCTTGATTGTATAAGGGCATATTCATTACTGTCCCTGGGACACAGGATTTGAGGGCCCATCTTTAAGTCATGAGGACAGAGCTCATCAAAAGTCAGTGAACGATCAGATCAATTCATTAATCAAAAGAATGAGCCCAGAAACTGAACACCCATAGTTAGATTGCACATGAATTTAGTTCAGACCGTTCAGAGTTCAGAGCCCTGTACCTGGGAACATGGATTCTTGTCTTGTAATTTAGTTCATTTTTTTACTTCTGATTAGGAAAAAAAAGACTTCAGACCCTGTTTCGGTCTCCCAAAGGGTGCGATTTTCCCCTATGCTGTTGTGTCTGCCAGTGGGCAGCGGAGAACGGCTCCAGGGCCAAAGAGTGAGAGGAGCCTTGGGGAAAGCAGAGGAGTCTAGGGGCAGTGGGCAGGGGGCCAGCTCTAGGCTGGGGTCCTTCCCTCCTTCTGTCTGAGGGTTCCCTGCCTGCTTGCTCAGTGTTGGCCTCCCTGGTACCCATAGAGGGACTTCAGATTATTCCAAGGGAAGGATTTAGTAACTGGAAATTAGAGGAAAGACACTGGGGACATTCTCCCCCCCAGGCAGAAACCTGGAGGAGATACCGAGGAAGAATGAGATTCTCCTTTGTGCCTAAAATTAATCCTGTAGAGCTGCGTTGTCCAGCTGAGGAACCACCAGCCACGTATGCTGGGGAGTGATTGCAACACAGGGAGTTCAAATCACAATGTGTTGTAAGTGTAAAATATAAGTCAGGTTTCAAAGACCTTGCCTGAAAAAAAAAAAAGGATGCAAAATATCTCATTAATAACTTTTAAATATTGATTACAGTGGTGCCTGGGTGGCTTAGTTGGTTAAGTGTCCGACTCGTGATTTTGGCTCAGGTCATGATCTCACAGTTCATGGGATCGAGCCCCACATTGGAGTCTGTGCTCACAGCGTGGAGTCTGCTTGGGATTCCCTCTCTCCCTCTGCCCCTCCTCTGCTCATGCATACATGCTTTCTCTCTCTCTCAAAATAAATAAACTTAAAAAAAAAAGTGTTTACATGATGAAAAGACAATATGTGGGGTATATTGGGTGTAATAAAATATATTACTAAAATTACTTTCACCCATTTCTTTTTATTTTATTCCATGTAGCTGCCAGAAATTTTTAAAATTATGTCCGAGACTTGGACAGTGCTGTATTAGGATAGCTTATTTCATTTTTACTTGCATAAACCGTATGTAAACAGGAATGCTTTAAGATGCATTTCTGATGTTTACCAACTGACCCAGTTGATTTTGTAAAACTCTGAAGTTCTTTTAAGAGAAACTCAGAGTTATTTTTGGTAGATAAAATACCCTCAGAAGTTCGAGTTGGGTGGGGATTAACTGCTTCCCTACAATTTTCCTCAAGTTTCGGACCAAATTCACACAGGCACATATTTATTTTTTTTCCTTCTTCTTTTTTTAATGTTTATTTCATTTTTGAGAGAGAGAGAGTAAGCGTGAGCAGGAGAGGGGCAGAGAGAGGGAGACACAGAATCTGAAACAGGCTCCAGGCTTCGAACTGTCAGCACAGACCCAACGTGGGGCTTGAACTCACGAAGCCGCGAGATCATGACCTGAGCCGAAGTCAGAGGCTTAACCGACTGAGCCACCCAGGCGCCCCGGGCACGTATTTCTTAATTAAACATTTTCATACAGCCTGTTTTCTAGTCTCACGAAGTCCCAGCTCTCCCACATGGCAGTTGCTGACACAGCACTTTGCGTGAAAAGCTCATTCAAAGCAGGTGATCCTTTGGAGTCAGAAGCCTGATATCTTTATTGTTAGCCTCCAACAATCAAAATCTTGCTACGCCAGTCATCTTTTATAGGAGTGATGAAGGAATCAAGTGCGTTTCTGAGGAGTGCAGGCCAAAGGCCTCCCTGGAATCTAAACCCTATTTGTGCAAAAGTGGGATTTGTCTCAAAATACCTGGGCCCTTGCACATGCTGACTGTTGTAACTCTGTTCACACGAGGGTGGACAGTGTCTTAAATATGTTAGCCAACCACCTATCTGCCTTTGTTAATGAAAGTCAATTGCTACCATTCATGCTTTTTAACAAGTCATTAATAAGTCAGTAAAAATTCCCTCGGCAAGGCCTCAGGTATTGGCAGTTGACATTGCAGGGGGGTCTCAGGAGAGTGACAGTCTTGAGGAACCCAAGCAATGCTCACCTATAATAGCGTGCTGGACCCAAGGGACACTCACCTGTAATATTACACTGGACTGCGGTAGCATTAAGGCAGTTCCAGCCATCCCAGCACTGTCCTATTAAGAGCACAGTAATCCGGGGCGCCTGGGTGGCTCAGTCGGTTGAGCATCTGATTTTGGCTCAGGTCATGATATCACAGCCCGTGAGTTTGAGCCCTGCGTTGGGCTCTGTGCTGATAGCTCAGAGCCTGGAGCCTGCTTTGGATTCTGTGTCTCCTTCTCTCTCTGCCCCTAACCCACTCGCATTCTGTCTGTCTCTCTCAAAAATAAATAGACATTAAAAAAAAAAAAAAAGAGTATAGTAATCCAACCTATTTGGTTCATCCAAACAAGATCAATGAGATAAAAGTCGGTGAACTATCACAATGTTTGATGAGGACACTCAGCCTTGTGTCATACATGTCACTTCCCACTTTAAAGGAATAAACAGCATTCACCACAGCAATCATTCTAAAAAATATGCATATTGTATTAAAGAAACATCGTGTCAGAGTAAGTGTCAGCAGTACTTGGGAGAAAACTATTAAAATGAAGGTTTCATCGTTAACGGAAAATTCTTTCTCAGTCTTAGAAACTCAACTTACTGATGCTGAGATCTAGAACAGATATAGCTGTAACTTAAATTTTAAGGCTGTTGGTATGTAAATATATGCTAATTTTCTCCCTGATCTTTTAGGGAAAATCTTCGCAACCCTGACACTATTGACATTTTGGGCTGGAGAATTCTTTGTCGTGTGGGGCGTGTATTGTAAGATATTGCACACCACTCCTGGCCTCTACCTACTAGATGCCCGTAATCACACCCCACTGCCCAAGTGGTCACAATTGAAAATGTTTCCAGATATTACTAAATGTCCCTTTGGGGGTAAGAAACTGAATCTCTGTTGAGACCTGCCGTTCTTGACCAGAATCAATGGGCTCACCCAATGCCTTATTGGAAATGTGGAATCTTAGACACTCTTCCAGACCTACAGAACAGGAATCTGTGTTTTAATAAGACCCCAGGAGGTCCATGTGCTCATATGTCCAGCCGATTTCACACCCTGCCTCCACGTGTGTCTCCCTTTCTCATTGCAGGAAGCTGATGAAGCCTTACTGCATAACCTGCGCCTTCAGATCGAAGCCCAGTTTCTGCAGGATGATATCAGTGCAGCAAAGGACAGGTACAAAAAGGTAACTGTGACCCTTCCGAAGCCCGTCCCTCAGATAACCTGGTTTGGGTTTGGCCAGACAAGTCCAGGGCACTCGTGGCTGAAACATGAGCCTGTTATCGTGGGTTACTTTTGTGTGGATTGCTCCCGAACCAAGGTGGCGATGGGGTGGTTGCTGGATGGCACTCAGGGAGCCAGACATATGTAGAGGAGGAGGCAGTAATGTGTGTGTTGAGGGGAGGGAACTGATGTCCGTTTCGTATGTTACAAAGTGATCGTACATAGATCCGTCTCGAGTAAGCTAGGACCTGTCCGTTGTTTCGGCTCAAAAAACGCAGAAATACAGAAAATGCGATGTACCTATTTATTAGCCCTGCCTCTAAGCCAGTTAGTTGAGGGAACACACGGCATTCAGGAGCTTCCTCTCAGGAAGCATTCCTCTCTGCCTCCCGCCTCTGCTAGCTGCTCACAGGCCTGACTTTGGGGGGCTTTAGCGTACTGGAAAGATCAAATCCTGGAGCTGCGTAACCATGGGCGAGTGCCGTCCCCACTCTGTGCTGCTTCATCTTCAAAATGCGGATGCCAGACTCTCCTTCTGCACAGCTGTGTGGTTAACTGAGTGTAGCAGACCTGTGAGCCTGGCTGTGGTCCTGGGGGCTGACCTCTCCAGTGGGCTGTGGCCTCCCTCCACCTGCCAGTATCTACCGCTGGGCCTCCGGACGCTCGCCAGGCAGTGGAGGGTGGCTGTGCCTCATGGTAGGTGTTGGGGAACTAATGCCCCGGGAGCAGCTTCAGCCAGTGACGGATGCACATTGTTGGATTCTTACCCCAGCTCCCTCTTACCTGCTGTTCTGCGCGACTCCCAGGATCCCCGGGTGGCCTGAGCGCCAGGCGCCCATAGGGGTAACTTACCTGGTAACATTCTTATTGGCTGCCTTGCCTTTCCTGTCTCACTTCTCCCTCCAATAATGTTTCCTGGCATCTTCACCCAAATGAACTGTTTGCACTCAGACCCTTCTTTCGGGGCCTGTATCTGAGCTGACTCAGGGTGCTATAACAAAGTACCACCAACTGGTTGGCTTTATACACAACAGAGATTCATTTCTTACCATTCTAGAAGCCAGCACACTGAAAGCAGGGTGCCAGCCAGCATTCCCAGGTTCTGGTGAGGGCCCTCTTCTTCGCTTGCAGATGTCCCCCTATCACTGTGTGCCCACCTGGGCTTTTCCTGATGTCAGCTCTTTGAATTTTTTTAAATCTTTTTTTAATGTTTATTTATTTTTGAGAGAGAGAGAGAGAGAGAGAGAGAGAGAGAGAGAGAGCGCGCGAGAGTGAGCAGGGGAGGAGCAGAGAGAGAGAGGGAAACACAGAATCCAAAACAGGCTCCAGGCTCTGAACTGTCAGCACAGAGCCCCACACAGGGCTTGAACTCACAGACCGTGAGATCATGACCTGAGCTGAAGTCGGATGCTCAACTGACCGAGCCACCCAGGTGCCCCTGGCTCTTTGGTGTCACTTCTTATAAGGGCACCAATCCTGTCCTGGGGCCCCATCCTCATGACCACATCTAAATCTAGTTATTTCCCAAAGGCCCCACCTCCAAACCCCATCCCACTGGGGGTTGGGGCTTCAATATGTGACGTTTGGAGGGACACAACATTCCATGTCTTTCTGCTTCTGGGGAAACTGATGCAGTGTGGTAGTATAGGTGAGACAGCTGGTACAGCCTGGAGCCTGGTGAGTGCTGAGTAGTGTTAGACTCTCTTCCTGCCTCAGTGTGGACCTGCCTCAGCACAATGGGAGGCCCCGTTACTCATACTGAAGGCCTCCCCCTCCCTATGGTGTTCCTCTGCTTTTCTACCAGGCCTGGCCTGTTTCCTCCCCCCACCACTTCGAGGCTGTTTAGAACAATGATAATAATAAGAGCTCACACTGTGAAGTTTTTGTGCATTATCTCGTTGGTCCCAACAGCAGCCTCCTGAGATAGTGTCTTAGGGTGGGCTGTCTACGAGGAGAGCCCAAGTGGTGATTTTCGTGCGATTGCTGTATTAGTGGTGAGCTCTCAGGAGGAGAGGAGGGGGAACAGGGGCACGGGGGTAGGAGCTGAGCAAAGGTGTGGGATTAGCTGGAGTCTGGTCCAGCTTGATCCCACGGGGGGCTCTGCAACATGAATCGCTCACTCCACGAGGTTGGTCGCACTTTGAGGCAAGAGGGTTGGCTTTTGTCCTCCTGTGCCAGAGAGTCATTGGTCTGGGGTGGGGGTGAGGTGGGATTGGGGGGCATTGCTTTCTGGACAAGATGGCCATTGTCTGGAGGAGGGCAGTTCTCTGCACCGTGCCATCGGCCCTCGTGCACGGAGCTGGGCACAGGTGTTCTTTCTGCTGGGAAGGGGGATCAGGACCCCCCTCCAGATTGTTAGTCCTCCTATATGGAAGAACCTGAATTTTGGGAGGTTTAAATTGCTTACCTGAGGCCACACACAGCTAGTAAGTGATTTAGTCCGGGACCATCCTTGGAAGCACTGCCCTGTTCTGGGGTCAGAAAGGGTCCTTTGTACCCTGCAGGGTCTCTCTGCCCCCACCTCTGCTTTCTCTTGTAGTTTTGCCATCCTGGGCTCTAGGAAGACCAGCAGCAAAAACATCCATGTAATGGAGGGGAAATGGCGAGATCAACAAGCCTCTTTATTTGTCTTCTTGTTCTTGTGAAGATTAAAGGGAGTGTGAAGTGTCCACTGCACGGGTTGTGGTCTGTCCTGTCTGTGATGGTGAACATGTGAAAGCATTCATCCCTGGGGTCACCTGGTCCTGGAGGCAAGATCTCAAGGAGCCCAAGTTTTAATGAGAATGCTTTCCTTCCCCCAACAGAATCTTCTGGAAATTCAGACCTATGTCACCATCCTGCAGCAGATTGTCCAGACCACCCCTCAAGCATCTGCCATTACAAGTGGGATGAGGGAGGTAAGAATCAGAGCCCAGGCTGCAGGGAGAGCATACCTGGGGAGGGCGCCTACACCCCCAACGGCCTAGTTTAGCAGAGACTCAGGTAAGGCTTCAGGTCAGGTCCAACTGGGCGCCGAGCCGCTTTCGCTGGTCACGCTCTCGCTCTGCGTTCGCCTTTGAGGTTTACCCTTCCCTGCTTTCACTCAGACTGGGAACAATTTAGGCATCTGAGGACACAGACTGTGTCCCTGACCATTGTCTTAGGCATTTCCTCTTGAGAATTTCAGGCTGTTCTTCCTTGCGTAGTTGGTAAGAAACTGCCAGACTGTTTCCCAAGGCGGTTTGCATGGTTGCAGCCCATCAACGATGAGTGTGTGAGCGTTTCTGTTGTTTTGCGTCCTTGCCAGCACTGGGGATGTCAGGTTTTTATTCTGTTTGTGCTTTTTGCTCATCTAACAGGTGTGTTGTGTATCTCACTTGGTTTTAACTGCGTCCCCCAGTGACTAATGACGTTGAGCCTCTTTTCGTGGGCTTATTTGCCATCCATGTATCTTTTTTGTGGTATCTGATCCAGTCTTTTGCCCATTTAAAAGAAGTGTTTTCTTTTCTTATTCTCCTTATCAATTTGACCGTAAATTTTGAATACAGAGAGACCCAGACAGTACGTGGCTGTATTTTCAAGGTTGGCCTCTGTTAATGATTATGTAAGTTTGTGGAATGAAAACTGTGGAAAAAAAATAGAGATTACAGAGGCTGATTTTTTTTAATGTGAATTTGGATGTAAAAACCTTTTTAAAAAATTTTTAAATTTATTTTATTTAAAAAAATTTAATATTTTCTTATTTTTGAGAGAGAGAGACAGAGCATGACCGGGGGAGGGGCAGAGAGAGAGGGAGACACAGAATCCCAAGCAGGCTCCAGGCTCTGAGCTGTCAGCACAGAGCCCGATGCGGGGCTCGAACCCACGAACCGTGAGATCATGACCTGGACTGAAGTTGCATGCTTAACTGACTGAGCCACCCAGCGCCCCACTTTTTAAAAAAAGTTTTTAAATATTTAGTTTTGAAAGAGCGAGAAAGAGGGAGAGAGAGAGAGAGTGAGGGAGGGAGACACAGAAAACGAAGCAGGCTCCAGGCCCTGACCTGTCAGCACAGAGCCTAACATGGGGCTCAAACTCATAAGCTGTGAGATCACGACCTGAGCCAGAGTCCGATGCTTAAAACCGACTGAGCCACCCAGGTGCCCCCTCATTTCTGATAGAATGTTCCACATTCCTTCACTGAGCTCTCTAGCTGCTGACGTCGTGTTTTCCTAATGTGGTTTAGTGGATTTTTTGATGCATAACACGAGACATGTAAAAATAAACTGACAATAATGCAGATTAAAACAAAAATGTCATGGTGCCCCTTCTCCAGAGGTTGTGGTAGGTTGTTACAAGGTTTGGGGGACTGGTCAACTGGTGAGATTCTGTTATTCTGCAAGGACGACTTAGGACAGTGGTGCTCATACCCACTGACATTTGGAATCACCTGGAAGTCTGTCCAGACCACACCCCAAGTCAATTAATCAGCTGCCTGGCAGGTGGAGCCCTGCCTCAGTCATTTAGAAACTCCCAGGGCAGCGTGTAGACAAGCTCCAAACTTGTGGGCCAGGGGAGCTGGTCATTTTCGTGGGTGCCTAGACACAGGACAGTCTTGTTTCTTTCTCATTCCGCCATGGTCCCAGTGTGACATCTTCAGATGTGGGGAGGGGGCATCCTCTATAAGTTTGTAAGTAGGGAGCACCATGGCCTGGCAGTTAGTGCCAGCTGCCAGCAGCCAGGCTGTCTTTCTTCCTCTTCAATGAATATCCAAGGGTCTATTGTGCGTGAGACACTCCCGCTGTGGGTTGGAGGGAGCAGGGGTGTATGATGAGTGGGAGCTGGGCAGTGAGGAGGGACAGGGCCAGACAAGCAGGCAGGCCCCTGGCAGGGAGGTGGTGCAATGTATTTGCACCTTGTCTGCCTCTATCTCGAGGCCGCAGGCCTAGAATTTGCAAAGTGTGGCATAGATGCATATCTTCCACACACTGGTGCTCAGAGTCTGAGTCCCCCTCTGCCCCCGGCTACCCCTTCGTCTGCATCTTTGAGGCAGGGAGGTGGGGACTGAAACACAGAGAAACAAAGAGGACAGAGATAGAGAAGCTGACTGAGAGACATAGGTAAAGAGACACAGAGATGGACTGAGAGAAAGCATGACTCCATGCACCGAGAAACCCAGGAGCACACCAGCCCTGGAGTAAGCACACAGCTGAGGAGGGCCGTCTGCAGTTAGGTCTCTGGTTTCCCCTTCTCCCTGGGCTCAGGGACAGACAGCAGAGCCCTACGAGAGTCTGCATCCCCAGCTTCCCTTTTGCGGAGGAGGAAGCGCCTTGTCCGGAATCTTTTAGCCAGTGTATGGCGCACGCAGTCTGAAATGTGGGTCTCGTAGCATTTATGGTTCAGACGCTGAAGACAAAGTGGAAAGGCATTAACTAAGGGCGGCCACTGGGGGCCTGTCTTAGTCAGCTCAGGCTGCTGTAACAAGCAGCACAGATGGAGCAGCTCACACAACAGACATTTGTTTCTCATGCTTCTGGAGGCGGAAAGTCCAAGATCAGGCTGCTGGCAGATTCAGTTCTTTTTTTCTTTTTTTAACTTTATTTGTATTTTGGGAGAGAGACAGAGAGAGCAGGGGAGGGGCAGGGAGAGAGAAACAGATCCCAAGCAGGCTCCACACAGTTAGCTCAGAGCCTGCCTCGGGGCTCGAACTCACGAACCATGAGATCACTACCTGAGCTAAAATCAAGAATCAGACATTTAACTAACTGAGCCACCCAGGTGCTCCCAGATTCAGTTCTTGATGAGGGCCTGCTTCCTGGTTTGTAGACAGCTGCCTTCTTGCTGTGTCCTCACATGGTCTTTCCTTGGTGCATCTTGGAAAGAGAGAGCACTCTGGTGTCTCTTCCTTTTCCTATAAGGACACTAATCCCACCATGAGGGCTCCATCCTCATGACCTCATCTAGATCTAATCACCTCCTCAAGGCTCTAATTCCTAACACCGTTGCATTGGGGGTCAGGGACTGAGCAGATGAATTTGGGTGGGGTGGGAGGGATACCCTTTTCCCTCCGGATTTGCTCACACATCAAGTGCATGGGAGTGCTGAGTCTGGCTTTCTTTGTGCAGGAGAAGCTCCTGACAGAACGAGAAGCCACTGTCCTGCAGAGCCAGCTGGAGGAGGGCCGGGAGGTAGTGTCCCTCCTGCAGGCACAGAGAGCCGAGCTGCAGGCCCAGGTAGGGTGTCACACTCTCATGTCCACTGCTCGCCATTAGGCATTCCCACCACACATGTCAATAGGGTTCTACAACACATTTTATTCAGGTGTCACGTGCATGCAGAAAAGTGTACAAGTATCCATCTGAGGGAATTCTCACGAGTGTCACATGCCTGTGTATCCAGTGCTCAGAGCCAGAAACAGGCCATCCTGAGTAGCGTGACCAGCTATCCTGCTTTAAGTGAGGATTTCCCAGGATGCAGGACTTTCAATGCCCGGACTGGCCAAGTCCTGGGCAAATGGGAACCATGGTTCATGCTATTCCCAGGCCCCTCAGGGGTTCCCCTTGTGCCCACTTTGAGTCACCACCACTCCCCACCAAGGGTAAGGCTGTCCTGACTCCTGCACTATTGATCCGTTTTGCCTGCTTTAACCTTATCCTTAAAAATAAGAAGAGATGGACACATATCGGGATTTCTATCCTCCCAATCTATGCTTCCTGTTTCTCTTTTCATGACCTAAAATCTCCCCTTTGGAATTTGATTACAGGCGTGGGAAAGGGTGGTCATGTCAGTGTTTGCCTCCCCTCAGGATTCATTTGTATAAAGCTCCCATTTCTACCCCTCCCCCCCCTTTTTTTTGGCAAAGCTTAATCTGAAAACTAAAGTCACCGGAAGAATGCTCTCCTGTTTCTGTGGCCTTCCTTCTTGGTTAGTGAGCTTCGTGGTTCACACCCCTGATTCCTTCCAGTTTGCTTTCTCTCATTACTATCCTGTTGTAATGGGAGACATTGGGTTAGAATACTAAACCTTCATATACTGTGCAACTACATTCCAAAATCAGAAAATAAATGGACATTTGGTTTGACAAGTACACATGAAGGGACAAGAGAAGAAAAAGTTTTGGACTATTTAGGAAACCTGGAACATTTATATGTTATATCTTACTCTGTCTCTATCCAATGTCTGCAAAATCAAAAAAAGTTAACGCCACACAGATTTGGTGCTTTTGTAGGTATTCAGTGCCCTCCAGATCTGCCCGGAGTTTTATGAGGGGACCATTGAGTTCCAGAATCTTCATTTCTGCCCCACCACACACTGTCACTATGCAGCAACTCTCAGGGGCCACTGAAAGCAAACCAGGGTCTGGTGATTATCTCCCGAGGTAAAAATCACAGCTCGAGAAATCAAGTACTGCCCTTAAAACTCATCCTTTCATGACAAACCATGGGTTGGGGACCAGATGCACCATTTTGGTGACTTGGTAATTTGTGGCTTCCTCTGAGGCCCTGGAAGAATGGAGTGAGAGTGAGTGAATGTGTGTGTGTGTGTGTGTGTGTGCACATACATGTATGTATATGTGTTTATGTGTGTAGATATACATGTGTGTATGTGTATATGTGTGTGCATGTTGTGTACTATATATATGTCTATATTCATATATGTGTACATATGTACGACTTTGTATGAACGTACGTGTGCACGTGTTTATGTATATACGTGTGTATGTAGGCGTGCACGTGTGTGAATGAGAGACTGGAGAAGTGGATGCAAGCCCACTGGTCCTAGAGACTGGTGTTTTCCAAACCACTGTTTACAATGTATTATTGGGTTGTAAAATGACTTCAGCAGAATTGAGTGGCATTAATAAAGAAGAAATTGACAACACTAGACTAAGATAGAATAAGAAATAACAGAGTACATGGCATGTAACAGTGGGATTTGCTTTGTGAAACCCGTGTTTTAAATATATATGTTTGCATATTTAAATATATATATTTGCTCAAATGCACACACACACATGCACACACACGTTTGTATGATGTGTATGGTTTGTGGTGTTAAATGTGGCTCTTCAAGTGGGCGTGGTGACAAAGTTGAAAACCCTGCCCTAGATACTGAGAAAATGAAAGAGCCCCGCTGATGTGGTAAATTCCTGTTCCGGGGCAAAAAGGTTTCTGTCTCTATGTACATATATGTATTTATTGAATGTAAAAGTAAGACATTTCATGAAGGATCAACCTAGTTTCTGAGGACGTGAAATAAATCTGTCTGCTTGGCCACGTGTCCCCTCCCATAGTTGCTGCAGGAAGGCTTATAGGTCTGGCTCTGACATTGTTGTCTCTCTAATTCGGGGATCTTCACTTTTTCTGTGCCCTGCCCCACCCCCCAGCAGTCTGGCAAAGTCCGTGGTCCACTTCTCAGAAAAATGTTAAAGGCGTATGATAAAAATAAAGAACATATAATTAAAACAAAACCAATTATATTGAACCAGTTATCAAAATATTACCAAATCATTTTCTATATAATAATACATGTGCTTATATTAAATACAACTAGCAGTGGGTCTAATGCAACACAAGTTGTGTTTTCTCTCGCTGCTGTAAGGAATTACTAAACATGCAAGGGCTTGAAACAGTAGTCCCTTGTCTCGCAATTCCATAAGTTAGAAGGCTGGGTGGGCTTGGTTGGTTTTTCTGCTCTGGGTCTCACAACGCTGATACAAAGTTGTCGGCCGGCCTCCTTATGTGAAGGCTCTTGGTGGAGAATCTTCCAGTTTCAATCAAGTTGTTGGCAGAACTCAATTCTGTGTGCAGGTGGGATTGAGGACCCTATTTCTTGCTGGCTGTTGGCCAGGAATTATTCTAGAAGCCGCACACATGCCTTGGCTTATGGCCATCCTCAAATCCAGCAACAGTGCTTGGAATCTTTCTCAGGCATCTAATCTCTCTGACTTGTGCTTTTAAGGGCTCATGTGATCAGGAATAATCTGTAATAATCTCCCTATTTTTTTTAAGTCCACTGATTAAGAGCCTTAATCACATCTGCAAAGTCCCTTTTGCCATGTAACCTAACATATTCATGGGCGGAAAGCTAAGGGGCAAAGGTCATGGGGACCAAAGTCTGCCTAATTAGCACTAATTAAAACACAGATGTGGCTGGGCCCACCCAAGAGTTTCTGACTCGTTCTGGGATGTGGCCCAAGAATTTGCATTTCTAGACTTCCAGCTGATGATGCTTCTGGTCTAGGAATCACACTTTGAGAACACTGGTGGTATAGGGGTGGGCCCTAGGTTGGGTCAGAATGTTTTACATCTGGCCTACCTTAGTCCCTGGCTTGGGGCTTTCACATCCTATTCAGGAGTCGTTCATGGCTGGCTTTTTGTTGATTTTGAAAGGTTTTAGTGACTGCCCAATAGAGTAGCTAAGCTGAGTGCTCTAAGGGAGATTTGGTGCTTAGCCCCTCAGTAGTGCCAATGCTGACCAGGGACAGGGGAGGGGGTGGGGCAAGAAATCCTTGTAGCCTGAGGGCTCCAACCTGGCACAACCAAGGCATATGGTTCTGCCTGTGGTTGGAGCTACTGATGCTTCCAGAGCCCTCCATAGCATGGTCCTCAGGGTGAGGTCCCTAAACCAGCAACATCAGCATCACCTGGGAACTTGTCAGAAATGCACATTCACAGGCCCGGCCCGGCCCAGACCTACTGAGTCAGGAACTTTGGGGTGGGGCCCAGCAATCTCTGTTTTTTGTTTTTTTTTTTTTAATTTTTTTTTTCAACGTTTATTTATTTTTGGGATAGAGAGAGACAGAGCATGAACGGGGGAGGGGCAGAGAGAGAGGGAGACACAGAATCGGAAACAGGCTCCAGGCTCTGAGCCATCCACCCAGAGCCTGACGCGGGGCTCGAACTCCCGGACCGCGAGATCGTGACCTGGCTGAAGTCGGACGCTTAACCGACTGTGCCACCCAGGCGCCCCAGCAATCTCTATTTTAACAAGCCCTCCAGGTGGTTTTGCAGGCTCAAGTTTAAGAACCCGCGTCCAGGGGTACTTGGGTGGCTTAGTCGGTTAAGTGTCCAACTTCAGCTCAGGACATGATCTCACAGTTCGTGGCTTCAAGCCCACGAACTCTGTGCTGACAGCTCAGAGCCTGCTTCAGATTCTGTCTGTCTCTTCCCCTCTTTCTCTGCCCCTCCCCTCTCATGCTCTGTCTCCTCAAAATTAAATAAACATTAAAAAACAAACAAAACACTAGTCCAAAGGATGGAAGAAACAGCACCCTCAGAGCTGGCAGCCCCTTCTTTGAAGCCAAACATAGTCCATGCATGAGATCACTGGGATGGCGCTTCCTAGAGGTGGAAGAAAAGGGACAGGCACTTCTGGCTCCCTAAATTATGTTTCACTGAGAGTTTCTGAGGCAGGGACATGGAAAGAGTCATGTATTACTTGGAAAGAGTGAACCTCCCGGGTATCATTTCTCATTAAAGTTGCCTAGCACCATCTAGTGGTAGATTTTGGGAAGACAGCATGTAATCCGTGAAGGACACTTGATTTCTTCCATTTCCTTCTTAAATTGTTTTTTTTTTAATTGAAGTAAATTAGTATACAGTGTTATGTTAATTTCACAAGTACAATGTAGTGATTCAACAATTCTACGTGTCAGTGCTCATTAAGATGAGTGTACTTTTAATCCCCTTTATCTGTTTCACGCTTCCCCTCTGCCCCCTCCGCTCTGGTGACCACCAGGTTGTTCTCTGTATTTAAGGCTCTGTTTTCTTTGTCTGTTTTTTTTCTTTGTTTGTCCACTTACTTTGTTCCTTAAATTCCACATGTGAGTGAAATCATATGGTATTTGTTTTTCTCTGATTTATTTCACTTAACATTATACCCTTTAGTGCATCCATGTTGTTGCAAATGGCATGACCTCTTTTTTTTTTTTTATGGCCTGAATGGTATTCCATTGTATATGTATATACCACATACATCTTCTCCATCCATTCATCTACTGAATGGGAGGAGATATTTGCAAATGACATATCCAATAATGGGTCAATATCCAAAATATATAAAGAACTTACACAACTCAACACCAAAAAACAACTAACCCAATTAAACATGGGCAGAGGACCTGAAGGGACACTTCTCCAAAGAAGACATACAGATGACCAACAGACCCATGAAGAGATGCTCCATATCACTCATCAGCAGGGAAATGCAAGTCAAAACCACGATGAGGTATCACCTTACACATATCAGAATGGCTAAAATCAAAAACACAGGAAACAACAAGTGTTTGTGAGGATGTGGAGAAAAAGGAGCCTGTTTCCTTTTTTAAAAAGACCTTGGACCCAAAGGAATCTGGGGGCCTAAGAGGACCAAAGCAGGAGGTCACCCGTCCAGATGGGGCTCACTGTGAGGCACTGCCAGGGTCCCACTGACCCATGCTGTGCAAAAGCAAGCCCCACAGCTGTGCTTGAACGCTGACTCCTTCGTTCATCCGTGACTGCCAAGTTCCACGTGAGGTTCAGCAAATGCCGATCAGAGCATGATGTAGCTCCTGCCTGCAGCGGCTCACAGACGACCTAAACGGTCCAAGGAGAAACACAGCAGTCACTCTTGCTCAGGATGAAGTTCAGGTTGCAGCACGGCCCACACCTTCCACCTGCCTCGCTCTCCAGTCTCCATGCAGCTACTCCCCTCCAAGAAGCCCTGGGCTGGGAGTGAGATGCTCTCTCTTCTTCTCCTGACCCTCTTGTGGTTTCTGGCACCTGCCCCTTGGCTCATCACGTCTCCTCTTTCTGGAAGCACCTTCTCTTCTTCAGTACCCAGGACTGGCCTACTCTGACATCTTCCAGCACCTGAGGGCCTCCCTGTACTTTGTGATGCCCTGGGCATGTCTCTGTGACCGAGCCATCTCCCCACACTGGGCTGTGGGCTCTAAGGAGGAGCGTCCGCATCTCATTCTCAGGCAGCCAAGCTCGTGCCAAGGTTGTTCACATCAGAGATGTCTCTTTAGCCCCCTTTAAGGCAGTGAAAGTGGGGCTCTTATTATTTTTCTTGAACACCCCTCTTCTGATACCTCCCAGGGCAGGTATCCCTCCCGCAAATTCCATCAGAGGACCGCCATCACCCACCCACCCACCCACCCCCAACAGCAAACCACCAGCTCGTGAGATACACAAAAAATCATGCTTGCCCTGTAAGGTTCAAAGGTTACAGGTGACATTTTTCTAGTTTCTGATTTCCTGGTTTGTGACAACGCTTTGCTATCCCGTTTACCATTTAGAAGTTGGCTAAGTGAAGGTGCTCAGGGACGGAGGGGTCTGTGCGTGGATCACCCTCAGTCTCCCCCCAGGTCTTCAGTGAGAACACGCTGGTGTTGCTTGCCTGTTGATGTGTGGGAATAGGGGGTTTTCCAAGGGCCTGGAGTGAGTGCATGTGTGTGTGTGTGTGTGTGTGTGCGCATGCACATGTACTGCTCACCTGCAGCTGGGAGGAGGCTGACACAGGGAGGCCCGTGGTTTCAGGAAGTGTCTCAGACCCTGCACAGGTGGCTCTGAATCCTGTACTTATTGGCAAGTCACTTTGTGCCTGTGTGCCTCAGTTTCCTCATCTGTAAAGTGGGTGCAGTAGCAGCCCCTGCCCATATGGTTGCTGTGAGGCTCATGACTTGTTCCCAGTGAGAAGTTGCCAGCACAGACCATTGTCCCCACCCCGGGCTGGGGAACCCATACCCAAAGGGGGCAGTCGATTCGCTTCACTCATAATCTTTGCTTACGTTTACTCTGTTCTGGAACACTTCAAACATATACAAAAGTGAGAGGACAGTCTCATGAGTGCCCGTACCCCCATCCTCCAACACATGGTCCCTCCTTCATCACCTGCACTCCACATACCCCCATGTGATTGTGAAGCAATCCCTGACACCAGACCATCTCATCTGGCAGTATTTCAACTGTACCTCTAAAAGATGAGGGCTGCTTTTATAGAATGTGAGGCCGTTAACCCACCTCAAACATTTTTTTTAATGTTTATTTTTGAGAGAGAGAGAGAGAGAGAGAGAGAGAGAGAGAGTGTGCACTTGCAGGGGAGGGGCAGAGAGAGGGAGACAGACACAGAATCTGGAGCAGGCTTCAGGCTCCGAGCTGTGCTGCCGGGGCCCCAGTGTGGCCAAGGTCCCCCAGGCTTGTTCTCGGGACTGCTCCATAGAAAAGAACGTCTGACTTCAGGGTTCTTCCACTCCTGGATGACTTCTTGTCTCTGAGATTCAAGCTTCAAAGGGGGTCTTTTAAATTCCTTATTTCCTGGAAGCATTTCCTAGAGTGTATGAACCCTGGCGTAGGTAAGAAAATGTGGCCGCACCAGGAATTAGTGGTATGCCTTGGTATTTGACATGACAGGTAACTGAATTTAAAATCTTTTTTTTTTTTTTTTAACGAGGAACAGAAACTCGATCACAGTAGCTTAAGCAGGAAAGGGTGCGCTGTGATTTTCTTTTGAAATAATTTTAGACTTCTCAAACGCTACAAAAATAGCACACAGGTTTCTCACAGACTCTTCACCCAGCTTCCCCAAATGTTAGCACCTTCACTACCACAGAACCATGTCAGGAAATTAACGACAATACCATCCTGGTAATAGACTTGACAAACACTTCACAAATACCCCACCAACATTTTTTTCCGGTCCTGGATCCTACTTGCAATTTAGGTGTTGTATCTTCTTAGTCTCCCCAATCTGGGATAGTCCCTGCCTTTCTCTGTCTTTGATGACCTTGATGGAATTATTTTGTGGAATGTCCCTCCTTTTGGGCTCCTCGATGTTTTTTCAGGATTAGGCTGAGGCTATGCATTTGTGGCTGGAATCCACAGGAGTGATGTGTCCTCAGTGCGTCTCATCAGGGGAGTGTCATGTGGGCATGTCTTCCTGCTGGTGATGTAACTTGGATCACTTGGTTAAAGTGGCGTCTGCCGGGTTTCTCTACTGAGAAGATACTCTTTTTTCCCCCAGAGGAGCAAGATATAAAAGGTCATTTATGAGATTTGAGAGCAGGGTGTGGGGCAGGAACCAGGAACTTGGATCTGAGGCAGCTGCTTACTCCCTCTCTTTCTTCTCTCTCATCTCTGTTCGCCTTTGCCCTTAGGCTTCATTTCTCTGCCCCTCGGGAGAATTGCCTTTGTCAGTTTCTCCATGCACGTTATGAAAGATGGCCACTCCAAAATGGCGGCCCCAAGGTTATATGAATCTGCCACCCACTCTCTGCTGTTTCTGAGATCCCTTTCCAAATTCCACAGGGAGGAAGCATGTGATAGGCCTGTCGGAATCAGGCCCAGCCCTGGTTCTGTAGGTCTGGTCAGGAGAGTGGAGTCACACTGCTGCTGGGACTCCTCTATGAGTGAGGTGGTACAGGTATCAGACAAGGGGGATGACATAGGCTGACAGATGACTTCCCAAAGTGTTGAGTATATGTACCCCTTTTTTCCTCCTTCCCTCTCTGCTTCCCTCCTTCTTTCCTTTCCTTTCCTTTCCTCTCCTCTCTTCTCCTCTCCTCTCCTCTCCTCTCCTCTCCTCTCCTCTCCTTCCTTCCTTTTTTCTTTCCTTCCTTCCTGATGCAGTAGATACATTGCGGAAAACCTTTGTAAGCTGTTTTCAAATGTCATCACTTAGGGAACTTCACTATTCTAAAGCGACATCTGTATGTAAAGTGAGGAATCAAGGGCACCTGGGTGGCTCAGTGGGTTAAGTGTCTAACTCTTGATTTTTCTCACGGTTTGTGGGTTCAAGCCCTGCATTGGGCTTCGTGCTGATAGTGCGGAGCCTGCTTGGGATTCTATCTCCTTCTCTCTCTGCCTCCTCCCCCGCCAAATAAATAAACTTTAAAAAAAAAAGTGAGGAATCAGGTGTCCTCCTAGGAATAATCATTCTCTAGATTTGTCCAATATGCACATTCAGCTGCATGTGAGATACCTGGTGGCAAACATACATGAAGTTGAATTCAGATACCTGTCCAGCCCCCCCACGACTCACTGTGTGGACCAGAGACAGGGCCAGTAACGTCACGTGGGCACTGGTTAGAATTGTAGAGCCTCTGGCCTCCCCCAGACTTGCTGAGTCGGGATCAGCAGCTTAACAGCGTCCTCCAGTGGTTCAAATGTGCAGTGAATTTTGGGATGTTCTAGGTACAAGTGGCTTTTTGGTTTGGTTTGTTTCATTTTGTTTTGAGGACTGATAAGGCACGGTGAATTCTTTTCTACTTGGGAAAATGCGATCGTAAAAGTCACGACTGCACACATACTAAGCTTGTAAATAAATACACATGTTGCTCTTTGCACATTGTTGGGAGCTCTTAAAGTGACTATAAGGCCACCTTATATTCTGTCATATTTCTATTTTCCTACCTCAATTTGGACTTGTGCTGTGTCACTATGCACCCGCCCCAACTTAATCATTTCAGTGAAAATAGCATCTTGTCTATTTAGTATGTGTGCTTTTTTCTATTTATCTTAAATTTTTTTTTAATCTTTATTTTTGAGAGAGATACATACAGAGTGCGAGTGGGGGAGGGGCAGAGACAGAGGGAGACACAGAATCTGAAGCAGGCTCCAGGATCGGAGCCGTCAGCACAGAGCCCGAGGTGGGACTTGAACTCACAAAACTGAGCTTAGGACCTGAGCTGAAGTTGGACGCTCAACCAACTGAGCCACCCAGGCACCCCAGGGCAGTTCTATTTATCTTTTAGCCAGGTTTATGCTAACTCAGAATGTGAGTGATACAGTTTATTTGAATTGTGCATTTTATTCCACAGACAGGGGTTTTCTTTTTATTTTCGGGGTTTGTCATCCGGAGACGTCTGTGTCTTGGGGAGAGGTGGGGTGGGTTTCCTTACGGCTGTGTCTTTGCCCACAGACGGCGGCCCTGGAACAGGCTATTAAAGATGCCCACGAGTGTTACGATGACGAGATTCAGCTCTATAACGAGCAGATCGAAAGCCTGCGGAAGGAGATTGAGGAGACTGAGAGGAGCCTGGAGAGGTCTTCCTATGACTGCCGGCAGCTGGTGGTCGCCCAGCAGACCCTGAAGAACGAGCTGGAGCGGTACCACCGGATCATTGAGAACGAAGGCAACAGGTGTGGTCACAGACGGGCACGGCCCAGAGGCTGCACGTCTCTCTCCGTCCCGGCCTCTGGCTTAGTTCACAGGTCCTCGTTGGGTGCTTCCTGTGTGCCAGGCACGGTTCCAGGTGGTAGGGGCGTGGCAGGGGAGGAGTCGCAACCCCGTGGCCTGGTGGAGCTGGAATGCTAGTTGGGGAGGCAGCTGATGGATGGCTTTGTAACAGATGACAAGTACTAGGGAGTGAATTGTGATGGGGGAGAGGGGAGCGGCAATGGGGCGATGGTGGGAATGTTTGAAATTTTAAGTAGGGTGGTTGCAAAAGACCCCATGGAGAAGGTTGCTTTGGGCCCCACAGGCCTCTGGGGACATAGATGTCTTAGCAGGTGGGATGACCGGGAGTATTTAATGAGATGCTGCAGGTGAGGTGCCTAATGCAGTGCCTGGCACTCGACAAGCGCTCGGAGGTGTTGGTGTTATTAGTGCTGCTACTGTCATTGCTTTTGTCACCTGGTCGTGTCAGTAATGTGGCTGTCAATGCACTGGCCGTCTTGTTCATAGTGGAGCCGTGAGTTAAGCTCCATTAACTTCAGGATAGCTGAGAAATTACCTCTATCCCCATCCCCTACCCCTGTCCCTACCCCTGTCCCCTATCCCTATCCTGTTTCCCTGTCCCTATCCCCTATCCCTGTCCCTATCTCCTGTCCCTATCCCCTATCCTTATGCCCTCTCCTTATCTCCTGTCCTAGTCACCTATCCCTATCCTTATCCATGACATTATCCCTATCCCTGTTTTTCTCCCTATCCCCTATCCCTATCTGCATCCCCATCCCTATCTCTCTCTCTCTCTTCCTCTTCCTCTTCTCCTGTCTCTATCTCTGCATCGTTTACACCGACACCTACAGTCTCCATCATGACTCTGTCATCTGGGTGTACTGACACCTACACTTACATCTGCATCCACAGCCACACCATCCACCTGTACATGTATGCCACATTACCTGTGTCGTCTGCTTCTGTGTCATATAATCTGTACCTGCACCGACAGCATTACGTTTACACTGACACCTGTAACATCTACCCCTACACCTATCCCTACATCTACATCATCTCCACCTACCCCTACACTTACGTCTACACCATCTATGTGTATACCGTCCACACCTCCATCTACATCACCTCCATCCACATCTACACCTACGTCATCTAGGTCTATGTCATCTTCATGTGTGTGCACATTTACACCTGTACCTACATCAAGCGTGTCTGCACCTACGTCATGTCTGTGCACACCTATATCATGTACATGTGCATCTGCATTATTTATATCTACACCTACGTCATCTATATCTGTGTCCATGTCCCTGGCCATATCCATAGATATCATTCAGAGAGCAGATTGGAGACTCATAGAAGGTACCTCATAGAAGGACTGTCACTTTATTAAGTTGTGGTTCTTTGATTAAGTTTTGCTGATTTGGGGGTTTAGACTGCATTAAAAGAGAAGCACCCAGAATTGCCCCACCAGGAGCAGTTCTTTCCTTGTCTCGTGAAATTTTAAGTAGGATGGTCGCAAAAGACCCCGTGGAGAAGGTTGCTTTTGGCCCCACAGGCCTCTGGGGACGTTAATGTCCCCATGGGTGCTCTGTCTTGGCCGTGAGTGCTCCAATGTTTTAGCAGAGAAAGCAAGATTTTCTTTTTCTTTCTCTAGTTATGGTCAGTGGATTGTTGCGTAATCCTACGTTATATTTGCGTCACGGTGAACGCTTTATGCACGCGTGAAAATATGTCTTGAACTGGCATTTAAGTGACTGTGTGGAGATTTTTGTTTTGGAGGCAAGACTTCATAAAAAGGTCATTGGGTTGCCTTTTTGCTGGTTTGCTTAGAACTTCGAATTTTGTTGTAATTTCAAGTTGGTAGAAATGTTGTAAGCATAGAACAAGGAACTCCTGAACACTCTTTTCTCAGACTCACCACTTGTCTACGTTTTGTCTCAATTGCGTAGTCAGTTTTTTCTCTACTTATATATAATGCATATTATGTTTTAAATTTTTTTTTCAACGTTTATTTATTTTTGGGACAGAGAGAGACAGAGCATGAACGGGGGAGGGGCAGAGAGAGAGGGAGACACAGAATCGGAAACAGGCTCCAGGCTCCGAGCCATCAGCCCAGAGCCTGACGCGGGGCTCGAACTCACGGACCGCGAGATCGTGACCTGGCTGAAGTCGGACGCTCAACTGACTGCGCCACCCAGGCGCCCCTGTTTTAAAAAAGAATTGGGGATACCATATCCTGGTTGCTGTAAATACTTCCACCTGAGCTCACTACTTTTTTATTAAAAAAAAGCAAAAACAAAAACTCTGTTCAACAGAGAAGTGCCATTTTTTAGATTACAAGCAACCCCCATTTTATAATTCTCCTGTGTGTTTCACAGGGTATGACTCGAGCTCAAAGAAACCCTTCACATCCTCATCTAGTGTATAAGTGTGTATATGTTTCATGAATAGTGTGATTTAGAGAAAGCTTTCCTCATTTTTGGTCACATTAAAGAGTCACTCTTAATCCCCCACCATCTGTTTGGTTTGATGAATTCAAGATGGCGATCATCCTCTTTCTGGTTCTTTCTCCAGGCTGAGCTCTGCCTTCATTGAAACTCCTGTCACCCTGTTCACCCCAAGCCATGGAACCTTTCTCAGCTCTCGGCTTGGTGGGAAAGGTAATGCTTCCTAACCCTGGCTTCTGCTGTTTTCTATCATGGAAAAGTGGGGGGAAAAATCAAACGGCTTTCTTCTTGAACTTAACATTTATGCTTCCTTCTGATCCATTTGGAAATTAAATGCTTTTATATGAGGTCTTCTCTCTCTGATTCACTCCCACAGGTGCTGAGTGACTGAGCCAGAATGTTTACAAGGAGAAAAATCAGACTGGGGGATAGGCCACCTTGGGAATGTCATCCTTGAACTTGAAGCATTAAATTGGGGGGAAATATAATTCAATATTCACCTTAGCAAAGGAAATGAGCAATGCTGTGCAAAAGTGCTTAATGCGGTGTCTGGGGCAGAGTCAACGCTCAATTATCGCTCACTTCTCTTCCATGCAAAACCGAGCACAACCAGCTTGGTTGGCAACCATGGCTTCCGTCTTTCACGTTTGGTCCTTTGGGGATGGTTTCATGCAGCTGAGAGATGTTACCTCACAGCTAAATCTCCCTAGTGCTGAACAAACACAGTGTTGTAGGAGAAAAGAAGAGGGTGTTGCCTATAGTACTTTCAAATCCACGTCCCTCAGAGAGCTCAGAGGGATTTGTGGAAATGGGGTTTCGGAGTCTGAACGTGTTGGAAGGGGCAGCAGTCCCAGGGACTGGGACTGGCTCTGGGAGCATGCGGCCACACACGGGGCCCTGTGCACACAAGGGTCCCCACACTTGGTGTAGTGCTCTGCTGTCACTGTCTTGAAATTCTTTTTGTTTTTTCTGTATTAAAAAAATTTTTTTTTTTATTTTGAGGGTGGGGGGAGAGATAGAGAGAGAGAGGGGATGCACACACGTGGGAGAATGGCAATGAGAGAGGGAGAGAGAGAGAACCCCAGGCAGGCTCCACATTGTTAGTGCAGAGCCCAACGTGGGGCTTGAACTCGCAAACCACAAGATCATGACCTGAGCTAAAATCGAGAGTCAGGGGCTCAATTGACTGAGCCACCCAGGCACCCCACTGTCTTGAAATACTTCATGATTTTGAACAGGGCCTTTCCCTCTTGTACCGGGCCCTGAAATTCTGCAGCAGTTCCTGTAAGCCCCCCCTTCCCCCAGCAGGCTACCTTAGACAAGTCCCTTTGCACATCCCTTCCTCCCTTATGGCTTCATGGCTCATTTCTGCCATTCCCTGGTCACTCAGCTGTCTGAGTCAACCTGTGCTAGGTGCCTTCGTTTTGTCTGTCAGTCCTCTGGTTCATGGCGGGAGGGCATGGATAAGACCTCTGAGATGAAATCTGCTTGCAAGTGGAGTTGAAAAGCCTCATAGACGAGGCAAGGCGAGATTGTGTGTGTTTTCTTAACCGTTCAGTTTTTCCTTTTAGAAGACAGCCTTGGGATCAGGGGATTCCCATCATTTCTGAATTTAGTACTTTGCTTCCTCTTTGGCCCAGGCGGAAAGGGATGCTACTGAAGGGGCATTGGTATCTATTTAGCTTGGGATGCGTGTGGAGCACGGGAGATTGAGTCCCCTGCCTGAGGCCATTCAGAACACACTGGAGGCCCAGTCCGCTCTGCGAGGATAACTCTGTAGACTGAGTTCCATCGACTAGCCGGTAGAGCCAAGTATTCACCATGAGCTCAGCAGGGGCTGGGGTGGGGACTCCGAGTGTTACTGCAGTAGAATGTCTCAGTAAGTCGCAGCCAGTGGGGTGGGAACTGTGAGAACTGTGAGAACAGGCAGTACCTTCCCTCCTCTCTGCAAGCCCAGAGGGGTCAAGCGACTTGCCCAGATTCACACAGCTGGTGGCAGAGCTGGGACCTTAATGTGGGCCATGAATGCCGCTGGTCAGATCCAGGCATCTTTCTCTGTTCTTTTTGCCTCATGTATGGTAAACTCTACTCCTGCGCTAGGCCTTGGTCTCCAAAATAGCATATTTTCCCACAAACACATTTTCTTCCTCTTCCATTGACAAACTTGACTTATGCCCCTGCCCCCTCCCCCCCTTTTTTTTAGATCTCACTAGGGCTGTGCAGGATATAACAGCAGCAAAACCAAGACAGAAAGGTCTCCCCAAGAACATTCCAAGGAAAAAGGAGATTATAGCTAAAGACAAAGCTGATGAGAGTCTGGAAGACATACCACTGAAAGGTCCAGAAGACACAAAGCTGGTACAGGTGGTACCCAAAGAAGAAGGTGAGTCTAAGCTTGAATTAGGAGCCGAAGAAGCAAGTCTCCCAACCCCAGAAGGGGCTCCAGAAGACGTGCCAGATGGAGGGCAGATAAGCAAAGCCTTTGGGAAACTGTTCAAGAAGGTCAAAGACAAAGTGAAAAGCCCCAAAGAACCCGAACCTCCGGCTGACCTCTACACCAAAGGGAGGTACGTGCTGGTTTCTGGGGATGCCAGTTATGTGGACCCTGGGTTCTGTTCCTTCTCCATCCCAGCCAAAGGCGGAGTGGTTATTTCCATTGAGGATGACTCTGTACATCACGACAGCACTGTGGAGCCCTCTCCTGAGCCGCCCGGGCCCCCTGTGGAGAATGGACAGGGGGACCTTCAGGAGAAGGAAGGCGGAAAGGCACCTGACCAGCATACTGCCGACAAGAAGAATGAGATTAGTGCCGAAGAACCGAAAGGGCCTGGGGAGAAACATGATGACCAGAAGGAAGAGAAGGAAAAGGAGGAGGAGGAGGAGGAGGAGGAGGAGGAGGAGGAGGAGGAGGAGGAGGAAGAGGAGGAGGAGTCGTCGTCGTCCAAGGGGCCCTGTCCCGTGATCACACCTGGTCCAGAGGGACCATCTACACCCCAGTCGCAAAGGCCTGGGGTCGGTCAGGGTGGATCTGGGGGGCATACGGCTAGGAGCAGTGATGCACAGGAGAGAAGTCCGCCCAGGACTTTGGCATATGAGAAGGTGGAAGTGATGGAATCCATTGAGAAGTTTTCCACGGAGAGCATCCAGACGTATGAAGAAACGGCTGTCATCGTGGAGACCATGATTGGGAAGACAAAGGCAAACAAGAAGAAATCGGGAGAGAAGAGCTCTTAAAATGCCCGGGGTCAGTGGGAAACAACGTCTTTGGGGCCACTGTAGGGGAAGTGCCTTGATATTTTAGAACAGATGACAAAAGAGTGAAGGTTCCTTGTTTGGATTAGACCATAGTTGGCCCTTCTGACGTTGCCAATGAAGCCTTAATTAAAAAGTTTTCTTTGCTTGCACACCCTTTGTCTAATTAACAGGGGCCTTGGGAGTGTAGGTGGGTCAGCCATGCTCAGGACAGGGATGCCCTGTTCAGGGGCCATCAAACCCTGCTCCTTTAAGGAAAGAAACATGCCCTTCATCACCGGTCGTGGAGAGACTCATTAGAGAGTCAGGGAGTGTCTGGGCCTCACACAGAAACATGCTAGTGGATGCATTGGTGCCTTTTTATTGCATCTCAAGCACAAACACCTGTTCACATGGAGGAGTGTTTTGTTAGAGGTGCATGATGAAAGGTGTCTGTCTTAGTTTGGGTTCGCTGAGAAGTTGATCCTGAAGCAGGGATTTGAGTGTAGTTTCTTTGGGGGTGTGATCCCAGGAAGCGCCAGAAGTGGGGTGCGAGAGGGAGCCCGGGACGGCAAGGCAGCCAATAAGAGGTCTGCTACCAGATCAGTTAGCACTGCGGGCACTTGGAGCTCAGTCGCCCCAAGGGATTCTGGGAGATGGAGTAGAACCCATGCCCCAGAGTTATCCTGCCCGAGTGAGGAGGGAGCTGAAGTATCTCCTCGGGTCCGCCAGTGGGGAGGGCTGCTCCCAGGGCACTGACTTCAGGGGCAGGAAACCCTCAGGTGCAGAAATATAGCTGCAGGCATTTGGACATCGGGCATGGAAATACATGGGTCATGAGGATCTAACTGGGGCACCCAGGCCTTTTGCCACAGCTTATGTCCCGTGTCCTTTTGTCTGAGTACTGAAAATGTTCTCACTGAGAAATTGCAATCCTAGGTCAGGTTCAAAAAGAAAAATCAAATGTCACTGCGTAGTCCCTTGTGTAGGATTTAGTTAACTGATTGGTCCAACAAGCACTCATGAGCATATACCGTGTGCCAGACAGCGTGCTGTGCTGCTGGGGGGAGATTTTTCACGTTTATCAGTGATCTCAATTATCGTCATATACGTGTATCTGCATGCCCCTCTTGCACACATACACACACACGTGTACATATAGATACTGTGTCACATCCTAGGAAACAAATTCCTTCAAACTAGAATTTTAAAAAAATGTTTTAATGTTTACTTATTTTTGAGAGAGAGAGAGAGAGAGAGAGAGAGAGAGAGAGAGAGAGAGAGAGAGAAAGCGTGAATGGGGAAGGGGCAGAGAGGGAGGGAGACCCAGAATCTGAAGCAGACTCCAGGCTCTGAGCTGTCAGCACAGAGCCCCACCCAGGGCTCGAATTCATGAAGTGTGAGATCATGACTTGAGCTGAAGTCGGACGCTTAACTGACTGAGCCACCCAGGCGCCCCACTTCAAACTAGAGTCTTTACAAAATTTCTGTGTTGCCTCTAGGCATCTGTTTTTCTACTACTGGTCCAAAAGAATTTTTTTTTACTTCTAGCAATTGAGAAACTGCTCCTACCCTATGTAGATGCTCATATGGGCACTGAAGAAATATGCTTAGAAGGATTATTACATCTGCCTAAACAAAAGTATCCCGTAAGACAGTGACACGTTATTAGGCAAAATTGACGGAGTCGTAAATTACATTCTATTATTTCTTTGTTATGAATAATAGAAAGAGTACTTAATAGTCACCTTTCCTATTCAGAGTGGTAAAAAAAATCTTGTTCTGAATTCATTTGAGGTTTTGACTTCAAGAAAGAAATATGCTTTTGTTGTTCTTTCTAAAAGATGAATGGAAGGGCCCACTCCATTGCACACTTTTGAAATATTTATAATTTAAAAGCTTAAGAGAGAATGATGGAAACCATTAGCTAGAGCCCGGAATGTACTAGGAATTCGGATCAGTGTATGTTATATTCAACATCACAGCCACTGAAGACTATCTCTTCCCTGTGAAGTCTTTTTACTGTGTGGACTATATGTTCAGTTCATATTCTTATTTTCAAAGGCAGGGTATCACTTTGGAGAGAAATGTTATTTTTATATTACATTCAGTCCACCATCAAAAATGGACTGGGGGTCTGTTCTGTGTCATGCATGGTTCTGGGCACTGGGGAGACAGCAGAGAAAAATCAGACGCGGTTCTGCTCTCACAGACATGACATTTTGGCATGGGGAGGAAGGGCATGCACAAGCAAGCAGATAACTAAGAGAAAATTAGTCTGACAATACTAGGAAAGGAACCAACAGGACGACATGTAAGAGTGGCCATGGGTCTACTTTGGATTGAATGGTCAAGCAAAGACCCCATGAATGCGGTGACGTGATCTGAATGACAAAGTGGGCCAGTCATGTACAGAGCTGAGGAAGGAGCATTTAAGTGCAAAGGCCCTGGGGCAGGAATGATCTTAGCCTGTTCAAGGAGGCGAACTAAAGGGGACTACAGAGGGCCAATGGAGGAGGGGAGGTCAAGGAGGGAGGCAGGAACCAAGAAAACACTATTTCCTGGCAGCCTCGCCTCAACCTCAAGCTGGGCTCGCCATGTGGAATGTGGGACTGCTTACAATGGACACTTTGGGGTGTAGTTGGGCTAGTTGCCCCCAGCCCCCCAGAACCCTACTTGCTCTTTTCTTGCCTCCTTATCTCCACTTGCCCTGCTTAGTTTGTTTTCCCCAAGGAGCTGAAGAATGGGTTCATCTCCTAGCTTTCCCTCTCCCTGAGGTCTCTGAAAACAAGCACTTTATAATTTTCTAAAAACCATTTCTTGTCAGTAAACACGGGGGTTCAGAGCAGGCCTTCCTGTAGCTCGGTGACAAGAGCACCCCGGAGCTTGGACAAGTCCTGGAGTACCTAAAGTGCCAGTGCTGCAGGTGGCTGGTCCTAATTGTTGCACCAGAGTCCCAGCCTCAGGTCCGGGACTGAGAGTCTCCTGAAGCTGCCTCCTCCACAAAGAAGCTGAATCCCAGCTGCCCACCCCTCCCATCCGCCAAGCGCTGAGTCGGTGACCCGTAACTGCTGTCGTGGAAGCCACCATGGGTGTTGATCCCCCAGTTTCCCTGACCCTCACTGTTCTGGTTCATGCCTACATCCCCATGCTTCTCATGCCAAGCACATATGACTCTGCCTTGGGGGATCCTGTGGTATAGGATTGTGCTCGGTCCACACACCCGGCAGGTTGGGAGCACTGGGGTGTTGATGCTCCTGGGGGCCACCCTTGATCAGGATGGATAGGACCTGGTGCATAAATACCCCAGCTCCTTCTCCCCTCCATTGGGATAACTCTGAGGTGTTCTACACTCCCCCTGGGGGGTCTGAGCCCCGGCTGCCCGCAAAGAAGCCCATTCACCCACATGTCCTGAATCAGTTTCCCTCCACTCCTGCCTTACTTTCTTGTCCCCTGTATATAGATGCTCCTTTCCAGTAAACGACTTGACCTCAACTCCTTGTTTCAGACTCCACTTGTGGCAGGACCCAACCTAAGATGGCTGGTTGGCACATGCCCAGCAACAACCCCCACTCCTCAGGTGGCAGCCCCAACTTTGTGGGTTTTTTTTAAAAAAGATGTATTATTATTATTATTATTATTATTTGGAATGTTTATTTATTTTTGAGAGAAAGAGAGAGAGAGATAGAGCACGAGCGGGGGAGGGGCAGAGAGAGAGAGGGAGACACAGAATATGAAGCAGTCTCCAGGCTCCGAGCTGTCAGCACAGAGCCCGACGTGGGGCTCGAACTCACGAGCCGTGAGATCATGACCTGAGCCGAAGTTGGACGCTCAACCGACTGAGCCACCCGGGTGCCCCACTTTGTGGGTTTTTTTTTTAAAGGTTTATTTATTTTTAAGGGGAGGGGCAGAGAGAGAGGGAGGCACAGAATCCAAAGCAGGCTTCAGGCTCTGAGCTGTCAGCACAGAGCCCAACATGGGGCTTGAACTCACGAACTCCAAGACCATGACCTGAGCTGAATTCAGATGCTTAAGCAACTGAGCCACCCAGGCTCCCCTCAACCCTGCTGCTTTAGCATGAAAGCATGCTAACATGCAATATAAAAGTGAACAGGCATGACTGTTTTCTTTCTTTTTTTTTAACTTAAAAAAAATTCTTTCAGAGAGGGATAGAGTGTGTGAGCAGGGGAGAGAGGCAGAGGGAGAGGGAGAATCTTAAGTAGGCTCCAGGCTCAGCTCCCACAACTGTGAGATCATGACCTGAGCTGAAATCAAGCCAAATGCTCAACCAACTGAGCCACCCAGGTGCCCCATGACCGTTTACAGTAAAAGCTTACTTATAAAAACAGTCAGAAGTCTGTATTGGGTCCCTGGGCTGTAGTTTGCTGATCCGTGATCTAGGGGGTGCTCCAACAGGGTCTAATACAAAATTAATTTACATATCAGAAGACATTTATTTTTCTTCTCTCTCTCTTTCTTTCTTTCTTTCTTTCTCTCTTTCTTTCTTTTTTTGAGAGAGAGAGAGAGACAGCATGAGGAAGGGGCAGAGAGAGAGGGAGGGAGAGAGAGAATCTCACACAGGCTCCACACTGTTAGTGCAGAGCTTGAAGCAGGGCTCAAGTTCTCCTGAAGCGGGGCTTGAACTCACGAACTGTGAGATCATGACCTGAGCTGAAGTCAGGTGCCTAACGAACTGAGCCACCCAGACGCCCCAGAAGGCATTTCTAACCTGGCATCTCTACTTGTTTCTTCCTTCCCCTTTCATGTTGGAAAGTTCCATTTAGGTCTTCCCTTGACTTAAATCTTCTATTATAAGAAAATATCTTCAAGCAGCCATTACAGTCTAGCTTTCCTACAATTTTTTGTATCATAGGTTTGTCCTTGGGATGTTGCTGGTGAACAAAGTCACCTCAAACCTCATAGGACATTTGGCACATTCATGATAGAGGACATCCTTCAGATACCTTGATTGGTACAAATGCTTGACTTCAATTTCTCATGCTTGGATAAAAGCGAATAAATGCCACAAAAAACCCACACTGACTTATGTTTCATTCAAACAAATAGGGTTTTTGAGTTGAGATGTATATTCTATCATGAGATACCTCCCTGGTCAATAACTCTGCTGTGTTGGTATCCTTACTAGTCACACCTGCCCCTTCACTTGCATTCT